AATAAAACATTCTTCATTCTGAGACAAGGTCTCACTCAGTTGCCTAAGTTGGTCTGAACCTGAGGTCATCCTGCCTCAGCCACACGAGTAACGGGGAAGGCAGGACTGCGCTATCCGGTCTAGCAAGGTTTTCTGGTTTTGGTGTTTTGGTTTGGTTTGGTTTTTGAGTACAGGTAGATGTGGGCATGCATCCATAATTTCAGTACCCAGAGCTGAAGCAGGAAGATCTCCCAGGCCTGCCTGGATTACATCATGAGTCCTTCATTAAAAAACCAAAACAATTTGGATGTGGTGGCACGCGGCTGAGATCCAGAATCCAGGAGGTCGATGAAGGAGGATTACTTCAAAATTGAAGCCACCAAGGGTCAAAGTTCAAGTTCCTATCTTAAAAATCAAAGCAAGAGATGGAAAGACAGTTCAGCAGTAAAACTGCTTGCTGGCAAGGCAGATGACCTGAGTTCAATCCCCGGGACCAACATGGAGAGGACCAGCTCCTGCAAGTTGTCATCTGAACTCCACAACCATGCTATGGCATGCGTGTGTGTGTGTGCGTGTGTGTGTGTGTGTGTGTGTGTGTGTGTGTGTACATGCACTGACACAAATAAATGTAATTAAAATAATGTATGTGCAATTAAAACTTTGTCATCATGTTTATACCAACATGCTTATTGCCACTGTGATTATAAGTGTCAGTCAACATCGTGTCCTACTGTGTCAATCATTTAAATTAAAATTTTTGTTGGTATGATACATGTAGATTTTTTCTCTCTCTTTCTTTTTTCCTTTCTCTCTTTTCTTTTTTGGTTTTTTGACATAGGTTTTCTCTGCATAACAGTCCTGGCTGTCCTGGAACTCACTTTGTAGAGCAGGTTGACCTCGAACTCTCAGAGTCCCACCTATCACTGCCTCCTGAATGCTGGGACTAAAGGCATGTGCCTGGTCATATATAGGTTTTCATTTTAATTTTTTACCTAGGCTTGATCCTTCAAGATGGAAGCAGAGGTGCACACACACTACATATATATGTATATATGTAGTCAGTATATTATAGGCAGTATATATAGTCTATGTATTTTTAATTTGAAAAGTTTAACGAGATAGATATTAAACAAAACCACAGCGGGCTGGAGAGAGGGTTTGGTAGTTAAAAGTACTTGCTACTCTGTCAGAGGACAGGAGTTTGTGTCCCAGCACGTAGGTGAAGCAGCTCACAGCCACCTGGAACTCCAACTGCTAGGAATCTAACGCCCTCTTCTGGCTTCCTTACACACCTGCATTCACATGTGTGCTCCCCACCTACACATAAAATAACAATGTAAAGTTTTGGTGCGTGTGTACGTGTGTGCGCGCGCGCGCGCGTGTGTGTGTGTCTGTGTGTGTGTGCAATGCTGGGACTGAACCTCTAATCCTCACCCACACTCGCTGTACACTCTCTTCTACCAAACTGCACACCTGACCTTTTTGTTTTTCTTTTGTGACAAGGTTTCACTAAATTGCCCAGGATGCCTTTGAACTTGCAATCCTCTTACCTCTGTCTGCCGAGTAGCTGGGACCATAGCACTTGAGAGGCTGAGACAGGAGAATTGCCACTAGTTTGAGGGTGGCTCAGGGCTGGACAGTTGAGTCCACCCTGGGCTACAGAGTGAGACCCTGTCTGAAAAACCAAAGGAAAGTCCTGGGGGTGCAGCTCATCGGTGAGCAGCTTGCCTAGTACACCTGGGGCTTGCTTCCCAACACCACATAAACTGACAGGGTGGCACTCCAGCCTCAACTTCATAATGAACTGGAGGCCAACCTGAGTTACACGACTCTGTCTTAGGAAAATGAAACAGGGGTCAACAAGATTGACTTAACTTGCTGCCAAGCCTAATAATTGGAGCCTGATTCTCAGAATCCACACAGCAAAAGGACAGAGCCAATGACTTCAAGTTTACATGCACACACACACACACACACACACACACACACACTCAAATGTCTCTTGGCATCTCGGATTTCTTCTCTAAGAGCATGCCCTTGCCTTCTCTGTCCCTCATTATTTCCAGACATTCACTTGGCTCTCAACAGCACCTGCCACTGTCTCCAGTTGTAGAATGTTAGGTTTGAATGATTTTTCCATCAGAATTCTGCAGCTAGTGTTCTGCTGCACTTAGAATCTATGGTCGCTACCAAGGAGACGGAAGCCATGAGGATCCCTGGTCCTTAGTATGTGACCTGTTCCTTTCTAACTAAAAGGGGTTCCTGGTTTTCCTTTCGGCCCCGACAGTGAAATTTCACAGAGTAGTTTCTGTGGTTCTCTGAATCCACCGTTCTAGGTACCTTTTAGTCTAGAGATTTGGGTGCTTCAGGTCTGGGACCGTCCTCTTGCTTGCTTAGCTAGTCTACCATGGTTATAATCCCAGAATTTGGAGGCAGGAGGATCAGGAGTTCAAGGCTACCCTGGCCTACGTCATGAATCTGAGGCCAGTCTGTGAGACTCTCTCTCTTCCTTTCCGCTGTTGTTTCTTTTTGAACTACTTTTGTTTGGTGCTACACTTCCTGACTGGTTTCTGTCTCCCTTTTTCTTGTTTTCTCTTTATTTCTGTCTACAGCTCTTCTATTGGGTTTCCAACTTCAACCTTTGTAACTTTAAATCCCCAGGGACTTCTTGAATGCTGTGATTTTTTTTAATGGCCTCCTCAGAAGGGTGACAAGACAGGAGGGCCAGGTGTTTATAAAGAGGCCTGGGACCCTCACTGTAATTTCCTCTCTACCTGAGGGCCACCTCCGAGGTCCCTCATGGCTCCTCCAGTCTGGACTCTGATGCTGCTGGTGGGGGCTGCCTGGGGCCAGGACCAAGTGCCTGCCCTCTTGCGGTAAGCTGGGCTGGGGACAGCAGTGATGAATGGGGCAGGGATTTCCCAGGTTGCATCGGGAGTGCCAGAGGGAGCAGGAAGTTTAATAACGGAAAGGCCTCGCTGAGCATGGAAGTGCATGTCTGCCATCCCAGCAGAGGCAGGAGGATCAGCAGTTCAAGGCCAGCCTCAAAATAACAAACCAAAAAAGAAAGGGCTGAGGCTGTGACTTAGTTAGAAGAGGGCTCGCTTGATAAATACAAAGCCCTGGGTTCAGACCCTGCACCACATGAACTGGGCATGGTGACTCGGGATGTAACACTAGCGCTTGGAAAGTGGAGACAGGAGGGTCAGGAGTTCAAGCTCACGCTTGTTTTGTTTTGTTTTTTGGTTTTTCAAGACAGGGTTTCTCTGTGGCTTTGGAGGCTGTCCTGGAACTCACTCTATAGACCAGGCTGGTCTCAAACTCACAGAGATCCGCCTGTCTCTGCCTCCCGAGTGCTGGGATTAAAGGCACGCGCCACCACTGCCCCGCCACAGTTGATTATATATCAAGTTCTAGGCAAGCTACATGGGACTCTGCCTCAAAAGGGAGAAAGGTCAGGTCCTGGAACTGGGGAGATGACCTTAGTGGCCAGGATGGGGAGAGCCTCACATCTCCACAACCTGAAGCGAGGCAGCATTCCAGGCTGAGAGGAAAGGACAAGGGTTTGTGAAGTGGGGATGAGGGACGGGTGTGGTGCAGACCTGTAATCCCAGCACAGGGGTAAGGGAGGCAGGGGGATTGAAAGTCTGAGGCCGGCCGGGCTGCTCTAAAAGAAAAAGAAAACAAGCTGGGTGTGGTGGGGAACTCCTGTCACCCCAGTACTCAGGTGGTGGGGGCAGGAGAATCATGAGCTTAAGGTCATTCTCAGCTACACGGAGAGTTTGAGAACCCGTGTCGAAAGAAAGAAAGGGTGCAGCATCAAAATATAACCATAGTCTTATGATAATTTTAATAATGACAAAGGCAATGTGTTTTGCTTTCTCCAAATCAATCCCAAGGAGACAGAACTCTCCGGACCGGAAACAGTTGGTGTTCACTTCGAGGGAGAATTGTGAGTTGGAACCAGGGCTGCTCAGGCCTCCTCTCCCTCCCCAGGATCCATGCTCTAACCATGGACTCCGGTCCCTAGCACAGGGCACAACATGGGTTAAATGTGCCAGGGGCGGAGAGAACAGTGGGAAACACTTGTCTAAGGCCACCTGAAAGATTCCCGCTAAGATTAAATATGACAAGTGGCACAGGTCTGTCACCCCAGTACTTGGGAGGCCAAAGCAGGAGGATCATAAGTTCAAATCCAGCCTGGGCTGCCCAGTAACAAGACCTTGTCTCAAAACAACAAAACAATTAGCTAGGTACTATAGTGCACACCTGTAATCCCGGCTCTCAGGAGGCTGAGTGAGGCAGGAGGATCCGCAGTTCAAGGCCACCTTGGGCTATCTATATGAGAACGGCAGACCTATCTTCAGGGGAGGAGGAGCTGGGAGCTAGCTCGGTAGATAAAGTGCTCGCTGCATAAGCTCCATCCCCATTTGGGTTGGGAGAACACTCTGTAGTCCCAGCACTAGAGAGGTAGAAACAGGAGGATCTCTAGGATTCCCTGGCCTGTCAGCATAGCTGAATCAGTGGTCTCTGGGTCATGAGAGATCCTGTCTCAATAAGATGGAGAGGGACCGAGGAGGACACCTGATGTTACCCTCTGGTCTCTACATGCATGCACCATGTTCACGAGTGTGCGCAGACACACACACACACACACACACACACACACACACACACACACCAAGATAATAGCCATACTCATAGCCACAGTAAGACACGTGCCAAGACACGGCCCGTCTGACTGAACCAGCCACACTCCAGTTTGCCGTCTACCCGCCCTCCCCAGGGCTACATTTCTCCCTGGGAATTCTGTCTCCCAGACCTGAACTCTTAGTGGTGGCCTTCTCTAAGCTTGGTGACCCTGCTGACCCCATCTCCCAGTGTGGTTCTGTGACTGACCCCTGCCCTCTGCCCTCTGCCCTCTGCCCTCTGCGAGGCCTCACTGAGGCTCTTTCTTCCCAGCCGTTCTCTCCAAGTGTGACTTTGAAGATGATACCAGACCTTTCTGTGATTGGTCTCAAATGTCTGCAGATGATGGGGACTGGGTTCGAACTACTGGGCCTTCCCCGACTGGCACTTCTGGCCCCCCCGGAGGCTACCCCAATGGAGGTAACGAGTCTGAGGGAAGCCTAAAGTTTGGAGGAGGCCAGTGGAGAAGGCGTAATGTTGGGAGGGGACTGCTGGAAGCTGAGCTTGAGCATGGGGTGGGGGGGAGTCAGTCCCTGGGAACAGCAAGGTCTCAGCCTTCCCCATTCTGTCTCCCCGCAGAGGGCTACTACCTGCACATGGATGCCAACACCTTCCCTCGGGGCGGAGTGGCGCGCCTGCGTAGCCCTGACATATGGGAGCAAGGCCCACTCTGCATCCATTTTGCCTTCCACATGTTTGGGCTGTCATGGGGTGCCCAGCTCAGACTGCTGCTGCTCAGGGGCCGGAAGCACCGCCGGCCCAACGTTCTCTGGAAGCATGTTAACACCCAGAGCCCCTCCTGGATGCCCACCACTGTCAATGTGCCAGCAAATCGTGATATACCAAGCTGGGTGAGGTTGAGAGCAGATCTAGAGGTCTGGTAGGGAAGGGGCTTGGAGGAAGGGGCTTAGGAAGGAAGGCTGTGGCCAAGGGGGGCCCTGAAGGGGGCAATCATGGGGTTTTCTTGCAGCAAGCCCGGTGACCTGAGTTGTCTCCAGGGTCCACACGGTAGAAGGCTAGAGCCAACTCCCCAAGTCCTCTGACTCTCCTTTGTGCCCCGCTATAAAGGAGTGCAGCTTTAAAAAAGAGACCTAGATCCCCAGCCATCTGAATCCAGGGTGGAAACCAGCAACCACTGAGAAGGGAAGCCAATCATGTGACTCACAGGGTCAGTCAGGGTCTCTTTGTTCCTGATTCCACAGCTGATGTTTGAGGGCATGAGGGGAAACACCGCCTATCTAGACATCTCTTTGGATGGCCTCTCTATCCAGCGGGGTACCTGCAATCGCAGTGAGTTCTCATCCCCCCGGGCACCTGTCCCTCTCTGACCCCTGTCCAACTTCCTGAAGTAGGGAGGGGGGAGACAGCTCAGCATGAATCGAGGCCCCTGGTTTCCTGTGGCTCCTAAAGCAGTCCTCTGTAAGAGGACCCTGGTCAACATGGAGTTGTAGGGGATATCTGGTCTACAGTGACTGGCCAGGACACATGGCCACAGCCTGGCCTGACTTACTACTGGAGACTCTGTGTCAAGAAACCTTTGGTGGGGTGGAGGATGGTCTTAGTCGGTAGAGTGTGTGTCTGGTGTGTACAAACCCTTGGGTTCCATCCCCTTTAACACACCTTTAACCCAGCGTTCTGGAGGATCCCAAATTGAAGGCTATCCTGGGCTACACAGCAAATATGAGGCCAGCCTGGCCTACATTTCATTCTGTCTCTAAAACAAAAGAAGTCTTTGGTTCCACGAAAACCTGAATGTAAAGTCTCCGTAGGTGTTACCCTCATACTACTTACTGATCTGATACATGCAGAACGGCCTTTTGAGGCTGACTGGAAAGGAAAAATCCAGAAGCGACGAAGGCAACTGCTCATTGAACGTGGGGGCTGGCCTAGATGCTTCACAAGCACAGTTTAGTTTACAACTTTACACAGAGATGATTCCCGGCTCGTAGACAGAAGTCTGAGTCTGGACAGGTTATGTAATCTCTGCCCACAGCAGCACCCTGGGCAGTGGAACAGAGGCTGCCCTGAAAGCTTGCTAGAGCTCACTACGCCTTGAGAGTGAACCTCAGAGTTCAGGCCCCAAGCTGGGGCATTTTTCCCTAGTTCCCTCCTATGGCAGAAAGCTCATTGCCCCTTCCTTTTGATAGTAGGGTTTAACCAGGGTTTTGTGTATGTTGAGCAAATGCTCTATCACTGAATCATGCCCTAGCTTCTCACAGGAGAGTTCTGGACAAGGGCCCTGCCGCCAACCACGGCTCCAGACCCTCACTGGCGAGTGTTACCGCTGAGCCCTGTCCTAACCCCATATTGGAGGATTTTAGACAAGTGATCTATGGCTACACTGCACTCTTAGCTTTTTTTTTTTTTTAACAAATGGGCTTCTTTTTAAAAAATGTATAACTTATTTTTATGTGCATTGGTGTTCTGCCCAAATGTATGTGTGTGTGTGAGGCGTCAGAAGCCCTGGAACTGGAGTTACAGACAGGTGTGAGCTGCCATGTGGGTGCTGGGAACTGAACCCAGGCCATCTGGGAGAGCAGCCAGTGCTCTCAACCCCTGAACCGTCTCTCCAACCTTCACTCTTAGCCTTTTGGTGGGAAATCCTACTGCTAAGACTCACTTTCTCACTGGGGGCTCTACCGCTGAGCCACACCCCAGCCCCTCACTGGGGGATTCTAGGCAGGGGCTCTACCACTGAGCCACACCCCAGCCCCTCACTGGGGGATTCTAGGCAGGTGCTCTACCACTGAGCCACACCCCAGCCCCTCACTGGGGGATTCTAGGCAGGTGCTCTACCACTGAGCCACACCCCAGCCCCTCACTGGGGATTCTAGGCAGGGGCTCTACCACTGAGCCACACCCCAGCCCTTCACTGGGAGATTCTAGGCAGGGGCTCTACCACTGAGCCACACCCCAGCCCCTCACTGGGGGGTTCTACACAGTGGCTCTACTGCTGAGCCACACCCCCAGCACCGTCTCTTCTTTTCTCTCCTCTCAGTCTGCATGTCCCAGATGTGCACCTTTGATATTCTAAATGATCTCTGCGGCTGGAGCTGGGTCCCAACTGCCACCGGGGCTAAGTGGACCCAGAAGAAGGGGTCATCGGGGAAGCTGGGTGTGGGGCCTGATGATGACTTCTCCAGCCCTGGTAGTGAGTACTGAAGATATCCTTTGAACCTCTGGGCTCCAGCGACCTCTGTGTCCTCTACGGTGGCATCCTTAGATCAGGCCAGGTGAAGCTCAGCAGCCCCGAGCTTCTTTCAGTTCAGACATCATGACAGGAAGTGTGATTCTGGGTTGGAGAGATGGCTCACTGGCTGCTCTTCCAGAGGACCCCGGTTCACTTCTTAGCACCCATATGGCAGCTCACAACCGTCTGTAACTACAATTCTAGGCAGTCTGGCACCGCCACACAGACATATATGCAGGCAAAACACCAATGCACACAAAAGTAAGTAAATCATATAAGCAAACAATTTTTAAAAAAGAAGCATGATTTCAAGTATTCCCCACTCCTCCACCGCCATGATGGCTGCCGACCAGCACAGCCAGCTCCTTCCCCCTTCCCTTGGCATCTTCCCTTCCATTCTTCACTCATTCAGTTATTCGCCCGGTATTTGCTGAGTCGACACCGTGTCCCAGAAACTTGAGCAGCAGTGTGCAAGGAGCAGATGTGATGGTGCACGCCTGTGACCCAGCACTCGGCAGGCTTGGCAAGGGTGTGAGGAGCCTCAAGGGCTGCCTAGTCTACGCAGTGAGCTCGCACACAGCCTGGGCTAGACCCTGTTCAAAAGCAAGCGAAAACAAGGGCTGTGATGTCAGCCAGGGGTGGCGCACTTGCCTGGCTGGCATGCACGAGCCCCCGAGTTCCCTTCTTAGTGCCATGGGAGGGAGGGAGAGGGAGGCGTGGCGATGACGTATGCTGCAATCCAGGCACCTGGGAGACTGAGGCAGGAAGACGGTGGGCTCAGGCCAGGCTGGCCCAGGCAGCATCACTCTGACTTAATGCCATTTGGATTCCCTGCCAAGAAGCCACTGTCTGGAACAGCAAGGGCTGGCTGGTGGGGACTGCTGAGCCCAAACACTCCTTCCTATTCATCCCATTCATGGTGAGGCCTTCCTGCCTTCCCCTCCCGCACTCCTGTCTCGGCCATCCGCTCCGTCCATCCGTCACGCTCTCACACTGCCCATCCCCTCTTCAGAGCCACGTGGTGCTGGCATCCGCCAAGCTTTGGAGGTCAAGCGATGTTTCAGCTTCCATTCCCAGTTCACACTTGTTCTTATGATCACTCATCTTCCTGTTCTGGGAGGTTTACCTTCTAGAAAGTTCTTCAACATCCCCTTCCCTTTCATTGGAAACCCCTGGTAAATCCACTAGCCATCTCCTCTCTGAAACTTTAGCCTTTCACATTACGCCTGAAATCGGTTGTGTTAGTTGTTGTTGGTTGGGTTTTTAACCTTTCCTACCTTGCTTTGAGCAAGGACGTGAAGCCCAGGCTGGTTTCCGACTCCCTGCCTCAGGGTCCCAAGATGCTCGCGGAGACGACAGGCACCCTGGCACTTGTTCCTTCTTTGCTTTGTCCTCCTCCTCCTCTCCTTGCCACCTAGTCTCTTCTCCCTTCTGCTTTCCTGACCCCTTCTCACTTTCTTGGCTTGGCCTCCCTCAGCCCAAGCTCCGCACGGAGCCGATGGGCCTTGGACACGCGTGCCCGTGTGAGCCTCCTCTGCACACCAGTGCCTGCCTTCTCCCTGTGTTACCGTCTGCAAAGCTCAGGCTGACTGGCCGTCTGGCTCTGACTAGGGGTCCTGAAGAGTCAGTCAGCACTCAAGGGATAAGATTGTAACAGCTGTTTCAGAAAGGATGTCTGCATTTACTATAGTGACGCCAGATCTTTACTCTGCCAGTCGTGACTGGGTGTAACCCCCTCACTGCTGTCACCTTCTAGGTGGCTGCTGGGGCTCTCCACGGTCGGGTCCCTATCTTCCCCAGTTGCTACGCCTTTGTTGCCCAGCCCCTCCACCCCACATTTCACTTCACTGGTCCTTCTTTCGCAGGTGGCTACTACATGCTTCTGGACCCCATGAATGCAAGGCCGGGGCAGAAAGCTGTGCTTCTGAGCCCCCTGAGCCATTCCAGCAGCTGTCTGACCCTGTCTTTCCACTACATAATGCGCGGCCGGTCGGCTGGAGAAGGCTTTTTCGTCTATGCTACGTTCTTAGGTTAGAGGAGATCACTGACCAGGGTGCATCTGGGAGGCTTGGATTGACGGGGAAATAAGGAGGTCTAGGAAAACCCAATGTACTGTGAGATTGCTCCATGTTTTAGAAATGGGAGGGGCACTGGATTCTATAAAAAATAAAGGCACTAGCGGGGCGGTGGTGGCACACACCTTTAATCCCAGCACTCGGGAGGCAGAGGCAGGCGGATCTCTGTGAGTTTGAGGCCAGGCTGGACCGACAGCCTCCAAAACAATATAGAGAAACCCTGTCTCGTAAAACAAACAAACAAACAAACAAACAAAAAAGGCACTGCCAGCCATAGTGGACCATGCCTATAATCATTGCACTTGGGAGATATGGGCAGGAAGATTAGAAGTTGAAGGCCAGTCTCTGCTACAAAGTGTGTTTGAGGCCCGCCTATACTACAGGAGACTGTCTAAGAATAAACAAAAGCAAACCGGCCAGGTAGACAGCACAGTCACGTGAGTTTGAAGACCTGACTACCATCCCCAACACCCACGTAGAAAGCTAATCTGGTCTCTATACACATGTAAACACATGTGCAGGCACATCTGCATATAAATCTTCACACATATACACTTATGGGTATGCAATGCATCCGTGTGCTCTTGCACACACACACAAAGCAGGAGCAATGCAAAGAACAATAATGAATACATGTGTGTGTGTTATACACACACACACAAAGCAGGAGCAATGCAAAGAACAATAATGAATACATGTGTGTGTGTGTTATACACACACACAAAGCAAGAGTGAGAGTGAGAATGCACACATGTGCTTGTGTACACACACACACACACATACACACACACGCACGCAAAGCAGGAGAGATGAGACAGAGAGAGACACAGACAGAGGGGGGAGACAGAGAGAGAGGAGAGAGAGGAGAGGAGGGGGAGGCAAGGGGATCGCTTGCATCTGGAGGAATATTCCCCTAAAGCTCTCTGTGCAGCTTGTCTTTCACTGCAAGTCCTCATAACCCTCCTTCTCTTCTGGTTTCTCTCCATCATAGGCAACATCCGGAAACACACTCTCTTCTCAGGACACCATGGACCCACCTGGCAGGCTGTGTCTGTCAACTACACAGGACAGGGACAGATACAGGTACAGAGGAGCAAGGCCCTCATTAGGAGTCCCTGTGCGTGGCAGGTTCTCTCAGTGCTGCAATGAGTTGAACTTTTCATGAGTACAGACATCATGAGCAGGAGCGGGCTTTGGAAATGCCAGATGGGAGGTGTCTTAGCTTCTTTTCCTGTCAAGGTGACAATACTCTAACAAAAGCAACTTAAGGGACAAAGGGGTTGGTCTGGGTGGCAGGTCCAGGGTACAGTCCACCACAGTGAGGAATCCATGGGAGGCAGGAGCTTGAAGCAGCTGGTCAGGCCCCACCCGCAACCAGGAAGCAGAGACCAGTGAGTGCATGGCTTCCATTGCGCTCCCTTTCTCCAAAACAGTCCAGGATCCCAGCCAGGGGATGGCGCCGCCCATGGGGGTGGGTTTTCCCCACCTCAATTAGCATAATCAAGATAATCCCACAATGGGCTGTCCAGAGGCCTGCCTGACTTTAGATTGTCAAGTTGATGATTAATACTAGTCTTCTGAAGGGGATGGCAGGGGTGGGGGTGGGGGTGGAGGGTTGGTTGCCTGATCACTCCAGGCCTACTCTCCTTTTCAGTTCATGGTGGTGGGTGTGTTTGGAGAGAAGCCAGAGCCAGCCATAGCTGTGGATTCCATCAGCATCGCTCCCTGTGGGGGTGAGAGCAGAGCCTTGGGAACCCCTGTTGTGTTAGGGGTTGGAGTAATGGGAGCCGGTGGGCACAGGCTGAGCGTCTCAAACTTCCCTCTTGCAATCTGCTAGAGAACTTTCCCCAGTGCAACTTTGAAGACAGAGTCCATCCTTTCTGTGACTGGAGCAATGTGTTGGGAGACAGCGGGCACTGGAGCTGGGGAAGTAAAAGTGTGCCCACCCCCATCTCAGGGCCCCCACGGGAGTTCCCGTATGGAGGTAAGCAGCCTGAGGGCTCCCTCGAGGTTAGAAGCCATTGCGTCTGCATCTAGCTAGGGACTTGGTGGTTTCATTGCTAGGGATGATGGGGGATGTAGGGAGCAACCTCCTACAGGTGTTTGTGGACGAGAACGCAGACCCAGCAAGTTGACTATGCTGAAGATATGACAGTGGGGTCATTGCAACCGAGCAGGAAATCCAGGTTTCCTCATAAGGGTACAGAACAGTTGCTTAGAATGCTCCAGAGAGGGCGTGTGTGTGTGTGTGTGTGTGCGTGCGTGCGTGCGTGCGTGTGCGTGCGTGCATGCGTGTGTGTGCATGTGTGTGTGTGTGTGTGTGGTGTGTGTGTGTGTGCGTGCGTGTGTGCGTGTGTGCGCGCGCGTGTGTGCAGTAGAGCGCTTGCTTGTGTGTCAAAGTCCTAGCTTCGGGGGTGAGCAGCAATTGAGGCTTTGCTCTTCATTGAGCCCAAGATTTCCACTGCCTTGTTTTCAGCCAAGGCGTTTGCAGGTGATGCCCATAGAATCCTGACTCTAGACCGGGAGCCGGCGCCTTCGGCTTTCTTCAGAGTCCTGAGTGGGTGGGGAGAGGAGTGCGTTGTTGTGACACATGCCTGTGAAGGGGAGGCTAAGGTGGGGATGTTGTAAGTTGTAGTTCAGCCCGAGGTACATACTAAGACCCTGTCTCAGAAGCTAAAGAAAACAGCAAAGAGAAATGCTACCATGCATGTTCGGTTGTGTGCTCCCTTGAAAAGCTAGACACGCTGCAGCAAGCAGCTAGGTTTGTCTTATAGGCAGGTCCGTGTGCGTGCGCGTGCGCGTGGGCCCGCTTACCTTTCGGGTTCCTTCCCTTCACTCAGGGGAACACTACATTTACTTCGATTCAATCAAGTTACTCCAGGCAGGACAGTCTGCCAAACTGGCGAGTCCACCCTTCTGTGCCCCCGGGGACATCTGTGTGAAGTTTGCTTACCACATGTACGGCCTTGGAGAAGGTACCACGCTCAAGCTCCTGCTGGGGAGCCCTGCGGGCAGCGCTCCCATTTCTCTGTGGAGCCGTGTGGGGTCTCAGAGCACTGGCTGGATAAACAGCTCTGTCACCATCCCTAAGGGACACCAGCAGCCCATGCAGGTGAGAGATGGAGAGTGGACCCTGTAAGTAGGGGAGCACAGTAAAGGGGCCCAGGGTTCAGGGTGGGCAATAAACTGAGGCAGAGAGGGGACGCGCTAGTTTCTTGGGTGATATGGCCATACACCCGACAGGAGCACCTTATGCAAGCAGAGGCTTGCTTTGACTCAGGGTTTTGTGGGGGGTATTGCCCGTCACGGCGGGGGAGGCATGGTGGCTGTGTTCACCCTGCATGAGCTGTCTGTCTGTCTGTCTGGCGTCTAAAGATCACAGAGCAGGGTGGCTACAGCCTTCAAATGCCTGTCTCTCAATGGTCTTTATCTACAAGATCCTACAGCCTCCCAAAACAGTGCCTCCAGATGAGGACAAGTATTCTAACCCCTAAGCCCATGTAGGGCATTCCAGTTTTGGGTTGTAAGAGGGAGAAAGAGCCCAGGGATGGGGTAGCCGCAGGGCTCAGGGGTGGGGACGTGCGGACTATGGGGTCCTCGCAAAGGCGGAGGACGCTCGCTGCAGTTTTGGAGTGTCTGGGACCTATTTCCTGCTCTTCCTCCTCCTGTGTCCCCCATCGCCTTCAGTTGTACTTTGAGGCCACCCGGGGCACCAGCACTGCCTTTGTCGTTGCTGTGAATTTCGTCTTGATCACTCACGGACCATGTCGGGGTAAGATGAAAGCCAAGGGCACAGCTTCCTCCCCGCCTCAGTACAAGGAGAGAACCTTGTCACACCTGTTGGCACTCCGCGCTGAGCCACACCCCAGCCCTCCTGAGAGGGTCCTCACTGCGGGAATCCCAGGAAAGCCCTCTACCACTGAGCATTTTCTCAGCTTGCTTTATTTCCACCGCAAGACAGGGTCTCTCACACTGTGGCTCACTTGGCTTTAAACTTGTGATCCTTTTGTCTGGATGTCACTGGTGACTATGAGGACAGGCGGACTGTGTCTTTGATGGATGGCGTGAGTTTCTGTGGCAGGATCCAGAACGCCTCCTTCTCTAGTGGTGTTGAAGGCAGAACCTGTCTCCTATTCAGTTTTGTGATTCCCATACCTGGCACCATGCCAGATGTGTCTTGGGAGCTCTGTCTCTTGAATAAGTGAGTGAAGGTTGGGGATTGGGAGCAGAGACAGGGGTGACCACTCCTATTGAGACGAGTGAAAGGGAGGTGGTCTAATTTTGACTAATTTGCTGCAGGGTTTTGTTTTTCTTGGTAGCATTGCCATAGACAGAGATTTCTTCCAGTCCTCTGGGTCCATCTACTGGCCCTTCTGAAACCACTGTCTTTTCACTCCCATAGAGGCAACCATTGTTCCCCTGGTACTACCCTCCATTCCCACTGAAGAGAGCACCATCCTCTTCGAAGAGACCATACCCTCCACAGAAATGACCACCGCCACAACTGAAGAGACTACTGAATCCACTGAAGAGACCACTCTCCCCACAGAAGTAACCATTGTCCACACAGAAGTGGTCAATGTCACCACAGAAGTGACCACTGTCTCTTTTGAGACCAGTGTCTCTTCTGAGGAAACCACACCTACAGAAGTGACCACGGTTTATCCTGAAGAGACCACCGTCCCTACAGGAGTGACCATTGTCTCTCCTGAAGAGACCACTGTTCCTCCTGAAGAGACCACCATCATCCCTACAGGTGTGACCACTGTCTCTTCTGAAGAGACCACTGTCCCTCCTGAGGAGACCACCATCCCTACAGAAGTGACCACTGTTCCTTCTGAGGAGACCTCCATCCCTACAGAAGTGACCACTGTTCATCCCGAGGAGACCTCCATCCCTACAGAAGTGACCACTGTTCATCCCGAGACCACCATCCCTATAGAAGTGACCACTGTTCATCCCGAGACCTCCATCCCTATAGGAGTGACCACTGTTCATCCCGAGGAGACCACCATCCCTACAGAAGTGGCCACTGTCCATCCCGAGGAGACCACCATCCCTATAGGAGTGACCACTGTTCATCCCGAGACCACCATCCCTATAGAAGTGACCACTGTCCATCCTGAGGAGACCTCCATCCCTACAGAAGTGACCAGTGCCCCTCCTGAGGAGACCTCCATCCCTACAGAAGTGACCAGTGTCCCTCCTGAAGAGACCTCCATCCCTACAGAAGTGACCAGTGTCCATCCTGAAGAGACCTCCATCCCTACAGAAGTGACCAGTGTCCCTCCTGAAGAGACCTCCATCCCTACAGAAGTGGCCACTGTCCATCCTGAAGAGACCTCCATCCCTACAGAAGTGGCCACTGTCCATCCTGAAGAGACCTCCATCCCTACAGAAGTGGCCACTGTCCCTCCTGAAGAGACCTCCATCCCTATAGAAGTGACCACTGTCCCTCCTGAGGAGACCTCCATCCCTATAGAAGTGACCACTGTCCCTCCTGAGGAGACCTCCATCCCTACAGAAGAGACCACCACCCTTTCTGAAGGGACCATTATCTCCTCTGAAGAGACCACTGTCTCTACAGAGGAATCTACTGTCGTCATGCAAACGTCCACAACATGTATTCCACCCTGTCCAAGCCCTTCACAGGTTCCGGGTATCTCGATGATCAGCATGGCCCCAGCGACAGGTGTATCAGGTATGAGGTGGACAGGACATTGGCTGGAGCTTTCAGTAGAAGACAGTGAGGAGATTAGGGAAGGAGGTTCTTGAAGTGAGAATCCTACGCTAGACTGCAGCCACAAACCCAGGCATATCCTCTGCCTCCTTCCCTCTTTTCTTCCTTCTCCTGACCCTATTCTATTCCTTCTTTCCTTCCAATCTTCTTACATAGCTCAGGCTAGCCTCAAGTAGATGATTTTCTTGCCTTGGTCTCCAGAGTAATGTGATTACTACAACACCTGACCTTGACCTGAATATTTCATACAAATGGAATCATATAACATGTTTATGAGCACAATATCTTCAAGATTTCCACCTCATTATAACATTGGTCATAATTGTTTTTGGTTTTGAGACAAGATCCTGTTGTGTAGCTCACGCTGGCCTCAAATCTACCATGGAGCTGGGACTGAACCTTTGGCAACCTTCCTACCTCAGCTTCCCACGGACGCAACCATGTCCAGCTATATCATTCTAATTATTTTTGTTTGTTTGTCTTACAAGACAGGGTTTCGCTGTGTAGCCTTGGCTGTCATGGAATTAGCTCTGTAGACCAGACTGCCCTTGAACTCACAGAGATTTGCTTGCCTCTGTCTCCTGAATGCTGGAATTTAAGGCATGTACCACACTGCCTGGCTTCCTTATTTCTTTTTTTTAATGGCAGGATAAATGTAGGCTTATTTAGAAAAGAGCATGAGCCCAGGGCAGGAGAGAGACAGGGAGACAGGGAGGCTTCTGGGGCGGGGGCAGCTGTGTCATGGAGACCTAACAGGCTGTGCTTTGTCTTTAGAGAGTTGTCCTCCAAATGCCCACTTTGAACCATGTGCGTGCCCCGCGTCCTGTGAGAGCCCCAAGCCCAACTGCCAGTCCCTCTGCAGCCCTGGCTGTGTCTGCAATCCTGGATTTTTGTTTAGTGACAATCTGTGCATCAATGCGTCTTTCTGCAATTGCTTCTACAGCAACAAGTACTATAAGGTATGCCTCTGGGGGTGCCCAGCTTTCCAAAGGAGAGCTGGTGCCGGAACACCTGGGCCCTGGGGACCCTGCTCTCCGTGTGAGAGGGGCCTAGAGAGGCCCACGGTGTAGGCGTAAAGGATGGTTACCCAATGGTTTTACAGTGCTGAAGGAAGAGCCAAGGGTCTAGGGAAATGCTCTACCAAGGACCCACACTCCCACCTCTACACGAGGGGTTCTAGGCAGGGGCTCTACGCTACTCCTACTGATGGGTTTTAGAATAGTGCTCTGCCACTACATCCCCAACCCAGGACTGAGTATTTCCAGAGCTCACTGGGTATGGATGGACTGGCATATGGACAGATCTAGAGTCAGGTAGCAGAGCTGGAAGATGGATACAGCATTCATTCTCTGCATGACCCTGGGAAAGTTTATCTTGTTAAATATGTTTCCAAGGCTATAAGACAGTAGCTGGGCAATAATGGCGCACGCCTTTAATCCCAGCACTCTGGAGGCGGAGGCAGGCAGATCTCTGTGAGTTCGAGGCCAGCATGGTCTACAGAGCCAGTTCCAGGACAGCTTCCAAAGCTACACAGGGAAACCCTGTCACAAAAAAAACAAAACCAAAACAACCAGCCAACCAACCAACCAAAGACTATGCATAGCAGGACTTACATTTTTATTTAGTTAGGTATTTTCATTTTAATTTTCTATTTTAAAAATTTATTAATTTGCAGGTGGATCTCTGTGAGTTCGAAGCCAGCCTGGTCTCCAGAGCGAGTTCCAGGGCAGGCTCCAAAACAATACAGAGAAACCCTGTCTCGAAAAGCAAAAAAAAAAAAAAAAAAAGAAAAAATTATTTATTTTACACCCGGCTGCAGTTTGCCCTCCTTCCTCGCCTCCTAGCTCCTCCCTCCATGTTCTGTTCCTCCCCTGCGACCCCTTCCCTTTCCGTTTCTGATTAGGGAAGGACAGGTCTCCCCTGAGCATCAACACAACATGGCATTTCAGGTTGCAGTGAGACTAAGCACCTCTCCACGTATTAAGGCTGGGCAAGGCGACCAGTGTGAGGAGAGGGTCCCAGAAGCCAGTTGTGTGGCTTGGTCCCTGCCCCACAAGAGGACCAAGCCACACAACTGTCACAGTTTTTGATTTTTTTTTAGAAACGGGTTTTTTGTTCTTGTTTTTAAGATACTGGGAGGCTGGGGCAAGGTGATGAAAGATTCCAGGCCAGCCAGGGATATGTGTCAGGACCTTGCCTTGAGCCAGGAGTGGGGGCACGTATCTGTAATCTCAACACTTGAAAGATGGAGGTAGGAAGGTTGGGAGTTCAAGGCCATCCTCTCTGATGTAGTAGATTTGAGGTCAGCCTGGGCAGCTTGAGGTTCTTCCCAAATCCTTCCTTGCCTTCAATGCCTCCCCACGCCTGCAAAAAGTAAAAATGACTGGGAATAGAGGTCAAACAGCAGAGAACACACCTAGTGTGGAGGCCTGGGTTTGGTCCCCAAAGCACTTGAGTATCGGACTCTGTGGTAAAGGCCAGTGACCTGCGTTTAATCCCTGGGACCTTTGTGGTGAAAGGAGAGAACCAAGCCACAAACTGTCTTCTGGTCTTCACATGTATGCTATGGTGGGCAGTTATGCACACACACTCACACACACACTCACTCACACTCACACACACACTCCCACACTCACTCACACACTCCCACACTCACACACACTCACACACTCACACACTCACTCACACACACTCACTCACACACTCACACACTCACACACTCACACACACTCACTCACACTCACTCACACACTCCCACACTCACACACACTCACACACTCACACACTCACTCACACACACTCACTCACACACTCACACACTCACACACTCACACACACTCACTCACACACACTCACTCACACTCACTCACACACACTCACTCACTCACACACACTCACTCACACATTCTCACACTCACTCACTCACTCACACTCATTCACACACACTCACACACACACACTCACACACACACAGAGAACTTGGACTTTGTGACTGTCTCTCTCATCCGTTGCCCTTAGCCTGGGGAAGAATGCACACTCACTCACACTCACTCACACTCACTCACACTCACTCACACACACTCACTCACACACACTCACACACACTCACTCACATACACACTCACACTCACTCACACATTCTCACACACTCACTCACTCACACACACTCACACTCACTCACACACACTCACACACTCACTCACTCACACACACGCACACACAGAACTGTGACTTTGTGACTGTCTCTCTCAATCGTTGCCCTTAGCCTGGGGAAGAATGGTTCAGTCCCAATTGCACAGAACGGTGCCACTGCTTGCTGGGTAGCCGGCTGGAGTGCCAGATCTCCCAGTGTGGGACACACACTGTCTGCCAGCTGAAGAATGACCAGTATGAATGCCAGCCCTATGGTGAGCACTGCCCTTCATGCTGTCGGAGAGGGAGGGTGGCTGGACACTTTAGGACGGGTTCACTGCTCCAGTCCCCACATTTGCATGTGCTCTGCTCTGATCCAGACAGCCCCCTGCTGCCTCTCTAAACCATCGCTCTGACAGGTGGGCGTGGGCCTGTACGCCCCACATCTCCCTTGGGCAGTGGAGCTGCGAATGCGTCTGGGTAGGAGAGGCTGGGATGTGGGACCCCGGAAACAGCTTCCCTTATCTCTTGTGGCAGGTAGTGCCACCTGCCTGGTCTATGGGGACCTCCACTTTGTCACCTTTGATGAGAGGCGCATTAGCCTCACAGGGTCATGTACCTACATGTTGACCCAAACCTGCGACAACTCTACAGGTAGGAGACTGGAGCCAGAGCTGGGGTGGGGTTAGGGGGTGGGGGTGGGAGGGGCTGAGATTGTAGAACAGGTGTCAGTCATGGGGACGCAGAAGGCGCTGAACAGGGGTGGTGATGAGTGGCAGAAGGGGACCGCATTGGCCCACGGCTGAGCGCTTGTTCAGTGTGCACAAAGCCTCGAGTGGGTTCCACGCCTAGCACCCCATGAAGTGGGCGTGGCGGCACATGCCTGCAGTGCCAGCACTGGGGAGGTGGGGGCAACGCCCCCAAGAGTCCAAAGTCATTCTCAGCCAGCCTGAGCTGCAATGAGACCCTGTCTGAGAACAGCCGTCCCCCTTTCCACCTAGACACGTTCTTCAGGATAACAGCAAGAGCCCAAGAACGGGGAGTAGAAGGTGTGTCCTCCCTGGACAAAGTCCTCATCACCCTGTCAGAGACCACCATTACCCTGCTCAGGGGCAGACACACACTGGTGAGTCCTGTCCTCTATCATCCCGCCGGGAGACAGTCAGCCCTACCTGTCCCCAAACGCTTCAGCAAAATAATGACGGCGATGTTTCCAAACGGGCCCAGTGAGAGACGCTGGAGGGAAGGGGTGAGGGGTGATGCCTTTTAGCCTTGGGTGTGATGCTGGAGTCTTAAGGTTCTCCTTGACTCCAGTGACACTCTCTGTCTCCTCTATTCTGCCAGATTGGGGAGCAGAGAGTCACTCTCCCAGCAATACCTTCTAACGACATCTTTGTGGGTCTGAGTGGGCGATTTGTTGAACTGAGGACAACATTTGGTTTGCGTGTCAGGTGGGATGGTGACCAGCAACTCTTTGTGACTGTGTCCAGGTAAGGGAGGCAGCCTAGTCAGGAAGCTGACATCTCTCCCAGAGAGTCCCACCCCCACTCCAGTCACTCAGGTTAATCATCTGCATATGTCCTCAAAGCTGGGCGGCATCTAACCTGAGCAGCGCCGAAGAGAAGCAGCAGGAAGTGGGGTCAGGGCAGTGAGGTAATAGCAGGGTGCATACACAGTGCCTCCGGAATGTGCTAGAAAGAATCACTCAAGGACTCTGGGAGCTGACAGAGGAGCTGTTGCTGGACACCATTCTTCAAAGAAGAGTGTATCCCCAGATGAACAGACTAGGATAAGTCAGGCTTGTGGAAAAGGTGACACGGGGACTAGGGAGGTGGCTCATCTGGTAGAGCTAAGTTCCACACCTGGAAAGCACACACACACACACACACACACACACTCACACACACACAGAGACACACACACACAGACAGAGATAGAGACACACACACTCACACACAGAGACACACACACACAAACACACACACAGACACAGAGAGACACACACACACTCACACACACAGACAGAGACACACAGAGAGACAGAGACACACACACAGAGACAGAGAGAGAGGGAGAGACAGACAGACAGAGAGGAGTGAGAGATTGATTCTTGTTTAAACCCATGAGAGAGGGCAGCAGGGGTGCTGAGCAGAAAGAGCAGAGGAGATCCTGTATAGGTGGCTCAGTCTGAGAGTGGTGGCCTTTAAGTACCTGAGGTCTGTCACAGACTCTGCTAAGAGTACATATTCTCTATTATTATTATTTTAGTTTTTCAAGGCAGGGTTTCTCTGTGTACACTTGGCTGTCCTGAAACTCACTCTGTAGACCAGACTGGCCTCAAAATCACAGAGATCCTCCTGCCTCTGCCTCCCGAGTGCTAGGGTTAAAGGTGCACGCCACACAACGCCCAGCAAAAGAGGATGTTCTCAGCCCCCTCCTGCCTCTTCCATCAGGACAGACAGCTCAGTGCCCCTTACTGTGGCTCTGACAACTCAGACCCTTCTTCCCAGCCATGACTAACCCTCTTCTGGACCCACAGCACCTACTCAAAGAGACTCTGTGGTTTCTGTGGGAACTATGACGGGGATGGCAGCAATGATAACCGGAAGCCAGATGGCACCATGACACTCGATGAGGATGAGCTGGGGGACAGCTGGCTGATGGAAGAGGAAGACGACAAGGAGTGAGTGAGGGCCCCCTGGGCGCCAGAGGTGGCCCTCCTCTCCTAGGCCATCTGCCCCTTGCCCATTTTAAGATCTGTCCCAGCTGGGCATAACTGTTCCTGCCTGTCATTCCAGAAGAGGCAGGGATGAATACCTGGAGCTGCAGACATAGTAAGATCCAGTTTCTAAAATCCAAGACCTGGGGGTGTGGCTCCGTGGTAGAGCCCCTGCCTAGAATTCTCACAATGAGAGTTGGGGCAGTGATAGAGGCCTTGCCTGGAATTCCCCATGGAGGGGCTAGGGGTGGGGCTCTTTAGTGGGGCACCTGTCTAGCGCAAACTAGATGTTGGGTTTGATCCTCAGCAATGCAAAGTAATAGGGGCTGGGGGACAGTTTATTAGTCCTTGCCTGTGATCTTTAGGTTTCCAGGACTGTGGGGAGGTGAAGGGCAAGCCTGGGCTAACATAGTAAGATTGCCCATTTCTCTTTCCCTACCTGAAGACTCCAGCTGCTCTCCCTCTGTTGTGCCTTTCAGTCTTGCTGACCGCTTGGGTTGGGTCTCTTCCAGGTGTCAGCACAAGAAGAACCCCCCAACTTGTGACTCAGCCTTGGGGAGAACTATGTCGGAGCCCAACTTATGTGGCCAACTTGTCGACCCAAGTGGACCTTTTGAGTATGGAGGAAGGCGGACGGGCTGCCTGGGGTTGCTGGCACCGGGGTTTCTCTGAGGCGGAGCACAGCGGCTCCGGCCTCTCCTCCCCTCTGACTCAGCCTCTCTCCCCAGGGCATGCCTGTTCTACCTGAAGGCCTCGTCCTTATTGGATAACTGTGTGGCGGACATGTGTAGCTTCCAGGGCCTCCAGCAGATACTCTGTGTTCATATGTCAGCCATGACTGCTACCTGCCAAGATGCGGGCTATCCCGTGAGGCCCTGGAGGGGACCCCAGTTCTGCCGTGAGTTAGGACCCAAAGAATTGGGGCATGATCCGGTACAGCTTTCCATAGCTACAGTGTGCACCCTGTTGATCCCCTACTCCAACTACATGTGAAGACAGGGTAGGGAGGAGAGTTGGCAAGAGCTTGAGAAAAATCAGTAAGCTGACTGGACAGCAGTCCTGTAACCTCCACTACTTGGGAGGCTGAGGCAGGACGATCTCAAGCTCAGGACCAAGCTGGGCAACTTAGGGAGGCTGGCTTCAAAATGAAAAGCAAAAAGAGGGCTCGGTGCATGGTTCGTCAGTAGAGCACGTGGCCTGGAATCCATCGACAAGGAGCTGGGGTTACAGCTCAGTGATACGGTGCTTGCCCAGACTCTGTCACTGAGGCGCTGAGGGTGTGGCTTGTAGAGCGCTTTCCTGATGTGCCCAAGGCCCTGGATTGAGTCCTCAGCACTGGGGGCCGGGGGGAGGGGCAGGAGGAGGAAGGGGACAAGAAAGAGGAGGAAAAGAAAGACGTAGGAGAGGAGGAACAGGTGGAGGAAAAGGATGTCGAGGAAGGAGAGGAGGCAGAGGCAGGCGGATCTCTGTGAGTTCGAGGCCAGCCTGATCTACAGAGTGAGTTCCAGGACAGCCTCCAAAACAATACAGGGAAACCCTGTCTCGAAAAACAAAACAAGAAGTGTATTTTGTGCTCCCCTAAGCTCTCATTGCATTTAGTGCAGACTGAATGTATGAAGCCGTGTTGAAGCTTTGGTATAGACCGCCCCTGCCCACCAGTCCTCTGGGGAAGCTGCATTAGCGGACACCCATCCCCAGGACCAGGCTGCTCATGGCTTGCCGGGTACCAGCTTGCTTACTGAGAAGGCGCACACATCAGAGTGGCTGTATCTTTTGATTCCCAGCTCATCTGCCTCCCGTGGGGACCGTGCTTGGTTAGGCAGCTGCTTTTGTTTTGGTTTGCTTTTTTGAGCCGGGGTCTCCTGCAGCCAAGTCTAGTCTTAAGCTCACCGTGGAGCTAAAAGCGGCCCTGAATTCTTGATCCTCCCACCTCCGCTTCTCCAGTGCTGGGGTTACAGGCAGGTACCATCACAGCCAGGGCGGAACCCAGGGCTTCATGCGTGCACACGAGCACTCTACCCTCAGGCAGCAGGCAGCCGCTCTCGTTTCCAGCAGCGGCACGCCCTAACCATCAGCTGGGTTCCTGGGCTTATCTTCCCCATGTCGTATTTCTCAACAGTGGCCACAGCATCTCTAGCTGGGGCCTCTTTAGCATGCCCTTTCCTTCTGGTCTCATTTGTCTCCTTTTGGAATTACTTCTGAGACAGGTGTCACTGTGCAGCCCAGGCTGGTCTGAAACTCAGTCCTGTTGCCACAGCCTCCCGCGTCCTGATCCACAGTTGCCCGTTTCCTTACCCAAGCTTCTCCCTTCACAGCTTTGGTCTGCCCTCAAAACAGCAGGTACTCCCTGTGTGCCAAGCCGTGCCCGGATACCTGCCATCCTGGATCTGCTCTCCAGCCCTGCCCAGAGCACTGCGTGGAAGCCTGCGAGTGTGACCCTGGCTTCATCCTCAGTGGTTTCGAGTGTGTCCCTCAATCAAAGTGTGGGTGCACCAACATCGACGGACGCTACTTCAAAGTGAGCAGCTGGCATGAATCCCTCAGCCTTACTGACAGACAGGACTTGCTCTGAGTTTCTGAAGACCTGGGTTGAGGTGGAGGAAGGAAAGGGGATAGGCAGGAAAGAGAAAGTCAGAAAAGGAGCAAGAGTAATAAGGCTGGCACACTGGAGTCATACTCTGTTATCCCCCCCGTTCTCCTCTAATTACCCTCCTTCTTTCCCTCTTTTACCCCAGCCCCTCACTGGGGGATTCTAGGCAGGTGTTCTAACACTGAGCCACACCTCTAACACCTCACTGGGGGATCCTAGGCAGGCGCTCTACAACCAAATTGCAGTACCAGTTAATGCACCAAAGCTCTAGCTTTTTACTTGTTCTTTTCCTTTTTTTTTTTTACCTCAGATTTTTGAAACAAGATCTTGTTATGAGCTGGGTGTTGGTGGTGTACACCTTTAATCCCAGCACTCCGGAGGCAGAGGCAGGTGGATCTTGTGAGCTCAAGACCAGCCTGGTCTACAGAGAGAGTTCCAGGACAGCCTCAAAACAATATAGAGAAACCCTGTCTCAAAAAAACAAAAAAACAAAACAAAAAAAAGATTTTATGTACCCTTTGCAGCCTCAACTCAATTCTCCTGCCTCTGCCTCCTCAGTGTCAGGGTTGCATGTAACCATCACCAAACCCATTTTGCTAGCCTTTCCCCACACCTGGCTCTGCCTCTACGTCACCTCTTCCTGCTGGAATCCCTCACCTCCTTTGAGGCTCTCTTGCAACACTTCTTGCTTGGAGCTTCCTGACAACTAAGTTAGGGACACTTCTCACATGTATGTAGTTATCTGTAACTACAGCACTGGGGAGGCTGAGCTAAGAGGATCTGGGGTTCCAGGTCAGTTGAACTACTCTATTTTAAACAAATGAACAAAAAGAATGTATCTCTTGGGGCTGGAGAGATGGCTCAGAGGTTAAGAACACTGACTGCTCTTCCAGAGGTCACAGGCTCAGTTCCCAGCACCCGCATGGCAACTCATAACTGTCTGTAACTCCAAGATCTGACACCTTCACACAGACATACATGCAAGCAAAATACTAATGCACATAAAATAAGGAAAAAGTATCTCTCAAGTATTAATAGTGTGTGCCCATGGTGGGAAACTGTCCTGGGGTGCCTGTCTGATTTAACTGGGTGCAGATCATATGGGAGATTTGTTGACAAATGTATTTACTTACTGCCCCTGCTCCACTGGTTCCTGAGTTCTTGGGGGGAGGGACACTTTTCTTTATTGTCATTTATTGTGAAGTCTTTATTGCACTTACTTATTGGGTTTGCACTCACATGCCAGGGTCAGAGGAAAATCTGCAGGAGCTGGCTGTCTCCTTTTGGCATGTGGGTCTCTAGACTGAACTCAAATCCTCAGGCTTGGCACTAAGTGTTCCCAACTACTGAGCCACCTTGCTGGCCCTCTTTTTTCTCTCATTAGTTTGTATGTGTGGTGTAGGTACAGTGTGGAGGCCACTGGAGGATGTCGGGCGCCCCGTTTCCCCGGAACACATTCCCCCACTGCACCTGCTATGCTACTAGGCCTATTTGACACCAGACTTTCGCACCCAAGCCCAGTGTTTCAGGAAGACCAGAGAGCCAACAAGGAAGCCATCTCTTACTGCTTTCCCTTCTGCACCCCAGGTACAGGAGCAGTGGTTCAGTCCAGACTGCAAAGAGGTCTGCACTTGTGAAGGCAACAACAACATTCACTGCCGGCCCTGGCAGTGCAAGGCCCAGGAAGTCTGCAGCCATAAGAATGGCATATTAGGCTGCCATGCCCAAGGTGAGCAGTCAAGTCACCACAGAAGGTGAGCGGGGACGCCATCTGAGGGGATGGTGACCTTAATACAGACTGTCAACTCGACAGGTTCTAGAAACACTTAGGAAACAAGACTTTGGTCGTGTCAGTTAGCAAGTTTCTAGATTCAGTTAACCCCGAAGGGAGAAGACCCACACTCGATGCAAACTTCATTCCACGGAAGGAGAAGTCAAGACAGCGGCAGCATTCACCTCTCTCTGCTTCCTGACTGAGGGTGCAGTGGGAGCTGGCTCACGCCCCCTTCCCTAGCCTTCCCACCACGGAGGTCCCTACACACCGAATCCCAGAACACAGCACTGCTTTCTTAAGGATCTGGTAATATAGTAAGCAATACAGAAAGTAGAATATAGTAAAGTAATACAGAAACATTGCCAAAAGCAGCTTTCCCCCAAAACAGGGGCTCACCTAGAGACTGTGTGTGGATCATCCTGTGTGAGACAGGGACAAAGACTGCGAACGACCCATTTGTTTTGGTTGCGAGCCTAGCCTGTAATGGCTGAGCCATCTCTCCAGCTTGAGAAAGACCCATTTATAAGAAAGCCAAGTTTAAGCCCGGCAGTGGTGGCGCACGCCTTTAATCCCAGCACTCGGGAGGCAGAGGCAGGCGGGTCTCTGTGACTTCGAGGACAGCCTGGTCTACAGAGCCAGAGAGAGTTCCAGAACATGCTCAAAACAATACAGAGAAACCCTGTTTCAGAAAGAAAGAAAGAAAGAAAGAAAGAAAGAAAGAAAGAAAGAAAGAAAGCCAAGTTTAGCTGTGGTGGTGGTGCCTGCCTGTAATCCCAGCCTTTGGGAGGTGGAGCCCAGAGAATCAGTCAGGAGTTTGAGGCCATCCTCAGCTACATAGCTAGTTTGAGCCCAGCCTAGGCCACATGGGACTGTTTTAATACTCAGTTTTAAATCACATGTTTGTGTCTCTGTGTGTGCATGTGAGTGTAAATACCTGAAGAAGCCAGGTAGGGTGCCGCAGTTCTCCGAGCTGCACTTACAGACAGTTGGAAGTCACCCTAACCCCGCATCGTGGGTGCTGGGAACTGAATTCTGGCCGCAAGGGCAGCGAGTCCTCTCAATTTACCCTGCACCATCTTTCCAGCCCAGAAGTTGTTTAAACAAACAAAACAAAACCAACCAACCCCCCCCCAAAAAAACCCCAAAATAAACAAACAAACAGGGAAGAAAAAAAGAGGGAGGCTACGGAAGTGAGTCTGTGAAGCCAGGAGCTTGGCAGAGTATTCTGCGAGGAGCCACAGGAAGTTCCTTCAGGAAATTACAGCAGGGAAGATGGAGGAGCAGCCGCACAGCGCGGAACTCTAGGTCCGGGAGGAGCGGCCGGCCGGGAGGAGCACGGCAGGCCCTTCCGGGAGGAGCAACTGTGAGAAACCGACAGGCCCTTCCGGGGGGAGCCGCGGTGAGGAGCAGCGCGGGCGGAGGGAGAAGCGGCTGTGTCAGGAGCGCCGGGAAGACCCCTCCGAGGACCCTCACGCAGGAAAGAGGGGTCGCCAGGAGCGGGAAGAAAAATCCCGGGAAGACGAGTTATGTGCAGGCTCCGGACCCGGTGCCCTTTGCCCAAGACCCAGTGCGGTGCAGCCTTGTGCGCTCGAGGCCTCCGCACCCTGTGCGGGATGCTGATGCTGATGGTGATGCTGATGGTGATGCTGATGATGCTGATCCTGATGATTCTGCTGCTGCGGCGGCGACGCCGGCCGTCTGCACTCCCGCCGAAGCTGCGGGGGTGGGGGTGGGGGGGAGAGCATGAGGAGCACTGGGTGCCAAGAGGGCGCTTTCCTGCATCTGTCCCCGATCTCGGACCTTTTTTTTTTTTTTTGAGACAGGGATTCTCTGTGGCTTTGGAGGCTGTCCTGGAACTCACTCTGTAGACCAGGCTGGCCTCGAACTTACAGAGATCCGCCTGCCTCTGCCTCCGGATCGATCTCCGACCTTTAAGCTACTCTCGGTTCAGTACTTTCTAGTAACTTTTGGTGAGGTTTTCTTTGTTGAAAGGTGTCTTTTATTCTTTTGTACAGTTTTTTGAGACAGGGTTTCTCTGTGTAGTGGCCCTGGCTCTCCTGGAACTCACTTTGTACCCCAGGCTGGCCTCGAACTCAGAAATCTGCCTGCCTCTGCCTACCCAGTGCAGGGATTAAAAACGTGAGCCACCACCAACTGGTGAGGTGTCTTTATTCTTTGGAGCAGATACGATGTACACTTCCAGAAATAAGCCATTTTTCTGGGCGGCGGTGGCACATGCCTTTAATCCCAGAACTCAGGAGGTGGAGGCAGGCGGATCCCTGTGAATTCGAGGCCAGCCTGGTTTACAGAGCGAGTTCCAGGACAACCAGGGCTGTTACACAGAGAAACCCTGTCTCAAAAAGAAAAAAGGGAAGAAAAGAAAGGAGAAAAACCGAAATAAACAACAACAATAAAACATTACCAACAAAATACCCCAAACCAAAAAACAACCAAACAAAAACAAGAAATAAGCCATTTAACTTGCTTAAGGACTTTTGTTGGAGGAGTTTATTGACTTATTGCCTTCAGAAAAGAGTAATGCAGCAATTTGCAGTCGAAAGAATTGGGCCTCCTTTTTTAGTGGTTGATCCTTCTGCAAAGAGTTCATGCTTTTAAGGTAAAGCTGACATTTTCCTTGGCCAAAGAGTTTCTTGGTTTGTTGTTGCTGTTGCATGATTATTGCTATCCTATCAGCAGGCTGAACTTTTACAGCCCTCAAACAATACAGGGCAGTGAATCTGCAGATCTGATTCCATGTGAAGTCAACCATAGCTGTTAAGTGCAAGATGAAGCATGGAGATCCTACTCTGGCATAAATTGTATTTCATACTTAACAGTCACATGAAGCAAAAGCAAGGTGTTTCTGAAGCAGTCTAGTTTGTCTGCTGTGCTGGGATCAAAATGGCAGGACCAAAAGTAACCTGGGAAGGGTATTTCAGTTTACAGGTTAGCAGTCCTTCATTGAGGGAAGCCAAGGCAGGAGCCCAGAGGCAGGAGCTGAAACAGAAGAATATGAAGAAGCAGTGTCACTTGCTTGATTCCAAAGCCAAAGTCAGCTCTTTCTTACACGGCCTAGACCGTACTGCTCACAGTCGACTGGGCCCTCCTGCATCACCCGAGAGTCACAAAGACGTCACACAGCCAAAGTCAGCTCTTTCTTACACGGCCTAGACCATACTGCTCACAGTGGACTGGGCCCTCCTTCATCACCTGAGAGTCACAAAGACGTCACACAGCCAAAGTCAGCTCTTACACGGCCTAGACCGTACTTCTCATAGTGGACTGGGCCCTCCTTCATCACCCGAGAGTCACAAAGACGTCACATAGCCAAAGTCAGCTCTTTCTTACATGGCCTAGATGGTACTTCTCATAGTGGACTGAGTCCTCCTTCATCAACCAAGAGTCACAAAGATGCCCACGGAGATGCTCACAGGCCACTCTGGTGGAGTCAGTTTTTTAAGTTGAGGTTCCTTCTTTCCAGGTGTGTCAGGCTGTCATCTGAAGCTAATGATGGCAGTAAGAATCCCAACTCTAAGGCTGTCTGCTGTGATTTGTAATGCTCAGTTCCATTTCCCCAAATTATTTTATGGAAATATTCCTACTTTTGCTCATTTGAGCTTAGATAGAAGCTACTCATGGTCCTATAAACACAGGTCTTCCCCCCCCCCCAGGGCCAGTAAGTGTTCAAAGAGTGATGGGAGGAGAGGGGGGTAGTTGAGAGCAGAGGGGCAGATATCCTGAGGTCTGTTGACTAGGGTGTTAGCTCACAATCCTTTGAAGCTGTGTACTACTTAGAGGCTATTTGTGTAGAAGTGATTGGACTGTATGGAAATCAATAAATGCTTTATTATTTAATTAAAGGAGGGAAGAGGAAGAAGGTGAGGACAAGGAGGAAGGTTTCTCGATCTCCCGGTTTGGGAGGTTTCAATCTGTGATCATTTGATCTTGTTGATTTGGGTCCCATGGTTATGGTTAGGCAGCCCATCCTGTTGGGAAACATGGCAGAACAAAACATTCCTTACATCATGGCTGGGGCATGAAGGAAAGAACGAGAAAGAAGCAATCCCCTTCAACAACACCCCCCAACTGACCTCAAACCTTCTGCTACTCCTAAAATTTCCACCCCTTCCCAATGACATTGAGATGGAGGGAGAATCAAGATTCTGGCACATGGGTCTTTGGGATTCCAGATCCAAACTTTCAGGGTAGGAGCAGCATCTTGAGGGGCTCAAAGTGAAGTTGAGGAAGGCAGTCTCCTTCTTGGCCTTCCTGAGCCAAACCAACACATCTTCCTAGAGGAAACCAAAGTCCAAGGATGTGTCATGGGTACCACCTCAAAACGGCCTCCCCAAGATGGCAGCCTTGCCTCAAGGCTTCTGGGGTGTGGGGCAACGAGACGCCAAAGCCTGTGCTCTCCTCTCCAGGTGCAGCCACCTGCGTTGCCTCAGGTGACCCCCACTACCTGACATTCGATGGAGCCTTGCACCATTTTATGGGCACCTGTACTTACGTACTGACCCGGCCTTGCTGGTCCAACATTCAAGAAAATAACTTCGTTGTGAGTGTCACCAACGAGATCCGTGATGGCAACTTGGAAGTCTCCAATGTCAAAGCTGTCCATGTGCAGGTCTTTGACCTCAAAATCTCCCTGTTCAAAGGTCGGAGGGTCGTGGTATGTGTCTTCTATCGCCTTCTAGACCTCACACCAACACCCACTCTCTCTCCTTCCTTTTTCTTTGTTATTGTTATTTTTGAGGTAGGGTCTCATATGTCCACGCTGGTCCAGAACTTGCTATGTAACTGAGGATAACTTTGAATTACCAACCCCCACTGCTTCCAACTCCAAGAGCTGAGCTCCAAGACACCTCCATCCTGTTCTCCATTTCTTAACTGTGCCCCATTTGGTCTTTGTTCCCAGTTTCTGACCCTCTCTCTACTATACCCTGCCCATTTCTGCAGCTGAACAACCAACGGGTGGCACTACCTGTGTGGCCTTTGAAAGGGCTGGTGACCATTAGGCTGAGTGGCATCTTTGTCTTGCTCTACACGAACTTTGGTCTTCAAGTTCGATATGATGGAAACCACCTGGTGGAGGTGACAGTGCCTTCCTCATACACTGGCACACTCTGTGGGCTGTGTGGTAAGACCCTTGGGGAAATCTGCTCCCCTCCCCATGTCTCCACTGGGCGTCCTCAGGACTTGTCAACCAACAAATGAATGGAGGACACTAGGCCCACAAGCAGGTGCCGAGGAAAGCCAGACAGAAAGAGGAAAGGGTTTCCAGATGTGATGGTACATGCTGGTAACCACGGTACTCAGGAGGTGGAGGCAGGAGGATCAGGAGTTCAGGTCATCCTCTGCTAGGTAGTGAGTTCAAGGGCAGCCTGGACTTCATAAAAACTTGCTTCAAAACAAAGATGAAAGGTGGAATGGGAATCTAGCTTAGTTGGTAGAGCTCTTGCCTCGGATGCAGGCAATCTTGGGTCATCCCAGCACTGCATAAACTGGGTAGTAGGGTGAAAGTAAACAGATGAAGAGTTCAAGGCCACCCTTAGCTACATAATCAGTTCAAGACTAGACTGGTATACGTAAAACCTTGTCATTTAAAAGGGGGAAAAATCCAGAAAAACAAAAAGACAAAAGGGTTAGCTTTGATGTGGCATTAAGCAATGTGTCTTCTAGTTGGGAAGGAGGTGGCCTCAGAGATAGGGGGACCTAAAACTCTGCTGCTTTGTGAGTTCAAGGGCAGCCCTATGCAACAAATGCCACCCCTATGATCTCTCTCCTCCTTAGGGAACTACAACAATAACAGCTTGGATGACAATCTGCGTCCAGACAGAAAGCCTGCAGGCAACTCACTTCTGCTGGGAGCTTCTTGGAAAATACTTGAAGCCTCTGAGCCTGGGTGAGCTGGGCATAGGGGTCTGGGATTAGGTGAGTTGAGCCAGGGTGAATTGTGCTTGGGTGAGGTAGGTCTGATGAGGGCTGAGCCTTCAGGAACTAGGCCTAGGAGAAATGGATAAGGGAGTCTGGACAGGGTGTGTGTGTGAGAGAGAGAGAGGATCTGATGAACTGGGCCTAGGAGAACTGGTCCTGGGGGAAAGTCTGCAAGTGAGCGTCCCTGTGCGTCTGGGCTTCCTCTGTGCTGCACACCCTGCTCCCAGGAATCCAGTCAACCATGCTCTTCATCCTCCCCCAGCTTCTAGTGCTGGGGATGGGGCTCAGGGCTTTGCCCATGACAGACGCACACTTAGCCAGCGGCTGCAAGTTTGAAAGGTTGTTCCAGCAGGGCTTGTTCCAGTGGTCAAGGCTCCACTAGCATTCGTGAAGCCCTGGGTTCCATCCCCAACATCACGTAAATCGAGCACGACAGTGCATAACTATTAATTCCAACAGATGGGAGGTGCAGGCAGGGCGGTAAGTATCTCAAGGTCATTCTGGGCCTTGTAGTGAATTCAAAGCTAATTTGGGATACAGGAGACCTTGTCTTAAAAAGGGGTGGGGATGTCTCAGCATTTAAGAGTGCTTGCTCTTTTGCAGAGAACCCAGATTTGGTTCCCAGCACCCACATGGTGGTTCACAAACACCCATAACTCCAGCGAAAGGGGATCTGATGCCCTCTCTGGCCTCTCTAGGCATCTGCACTCATGTGCATACACACACACACACACACAATTAAACATAATAAACTAGACATTAAAGGATAAATAACAAAATGTAAGCAAGCCAGGCATGGTAACTCATGCCTTTAATCCCAGCATTTGGGAGGTGAAAGCAGATGGGTCTCTGTGAATTGGAGGCCAGCTTGATCTACATGGTGAGTTCCAGGACAGCCATGACTATGTAGAGGGTCCCTGTCTCAAAAAAATGTAAACAGTTAAATAAAATTGTCCTAACTCCTCAGGCCTATGTTAGCCAACTTCTTATTCTTGCCTCAGCGCAGCCATCTGAGAAGTCCCACTGGCCTTCTTCCTTCCTGATGCGTCTCCTGGCCTTTCCACTTGAGGGCGCTATTGTGTTTCCTTCCCATTTTCCCCCATGTGACCTAGCTTCGGTCTGGAGAATTCTTCCTCAAACCTAACCTTTCTAATCTTTCTTCTCCCCCTCATCCAGCTGCTTTGTAGTCGGGGGCAAGTCCTCCAGCTGTGAGGAGAACAACATGGACGACACCTGGACTAAAAAGTGCGCCATCTTGATGAACCCTGTTGGTGAGAGACATCTCTTGCCAGGACCCTTTGTCCTCTGCCCAGGAACAGGTGGTGACAGGAGAGAGAGTTGGAGTAGAGGCGGCAGGAGTACAGAGTGGCTGGTGGTGCCTTCCAGGAGCCCTGACTGACAGCTCTTAGCCATGGGTCCCAGGGCACTTGGTTCTGTGGTTGTCCTTCTGTTGTCTTCATTTTGAGACTAGGTCCATGTGTCCAAGGCTGGCCTTGAACCCACTGTGCAGCCTGGAATGACACTGAACTTGCGATCCTTCTGCCTCTACCTCTTGAGTGCTTGGGGTTACAGATGTTCACCACCACATCCAGTTTATGTGGTGCTGGAGATCGAACCCAGGGCATGCCAGGCAAGCACAACTGAGGTACATTCCCAGTCCCTGATTTTTTTTTCAGGTAAGTTCTCAGTTTTAGATGAGGGTGAGCTCAGTCTCTGTATGTAACTCAAGCTGGCCTCATAATCATGGTGATCTGAAGACCTGAATCCATTCAGTCCTTGGAAACCACATAGAACCAATTCCAGAAAGTTGTACTTTGACCTCCACATGGGTATTGTGGAATGCATATAACCCTTCCTCACAAAATGATAATAATAAATTTAAAAGAAAAAACCCACCCAGGCATGTTGGTACGCATGTGTAATCCCAGTGCTGAGAGAACAGAGACTCCTTGGAGCTCACCGGCTAACCAGCTTAGCTGCCCTGGTGTGTTCCAGCTTGGCCAATGCGAGACCATGTCCCAAAAGGCAAGACAAAGGCCTCAAAAGATGGCTTGGAGGATACAGGTGCCTGCCATCCAACAGATTTGATCCCTGTGACCCACATGGTGGAGAGAGCTGACTTACACACACACACACACACACACACACACACACACACACACACACACACGAACACGATATATATGAGGTGGGGCCAGCCAGATGGCTTGGCAGGTAAAGGTTCTTGCTCTGACGTGAGTTTAGTCCCCAGAAAGCATGTACATTTGGAAGGGAAGAACCAACTCCACATACTTATTTCCTGACCTCCACATGGTACAACACATAAGCCCTTACATACATACACAGTAATAACAACAATTATAAGTGTATTAGAACCCACGGTGATGATTCCTGAGGAATGACACCTGGGGTGGTCCCCCGGGCTTTGCAAGCACCTGCACACTCATACGGGTACACACATAATCCCTAAATTAGCTGCATAGAGGCTTCACGGCCCAGCTAGCGCACTGGGCTCACCCCCCTCTCCTCCGCTTTGCTTTGTCCTGCAGGACCTTTCTCCAATTGCCACGAGGCAGTGCCCCCCCAGGCCAGCTTCTCCAGTTGTGTGCATGGCCAGTGTGGGACCAGAGGAGACACCCTGGCCCTGTGCCGCTCCCTGCAAGCCTATGCATCCCTGTGTGCCCAAGCTGGCCAGGTGACTACCTGGCGCAACAGCACCTTCTGCCGTGAGTGATCCCCCTTGAGCTGCTACAGCCCTGGCGAGCCCTGAGACCCGTCCTCTCCTGTCCCGGGGCTGCCCCTCAGCCTGCATCCACACCCGCAGGAAGCTCTCTTTCCACACTCTGCCTCTCCCGCTGGGCTGCCTCACAGTGCCCCGAGTCTCCCTCCCTCTCCCCCACATCTTATTTTGGGGGGGCGTGAAGGATCTCAGGGTCTCGTGTAATCCTGGCCTCCAACTTCCTGTGTGAGTGAGGAGAGCTTGGACTACAAGTGTACACCACCATGCCTGACTGTCTGATTTTTTACATCATCAAAAATTTGCCCTGTGTCTAGTTATTGGTCCATTCTCCCAGGTTTTAACAAGGCCCTTTTAAAAAATATCTTTAATTAATTAGTTAATCTTGAGACAGAGTCTCACTACATAACACTGGCTGCCTGGAATTGGCTATGTAGATCAGGTGCAGAAATCGGCCTACCTTCTGCCTCCCAAGTTCTGGAATTAACAGCGTGGGCCATCCTCTCAGCCAGGAGCATTCTTTAAAGTGTTTTAAATTGATTGTGTTTCTGTTTGGATTTGTTGGGTTTTACTATGTGTGTGTTTGCATGTGACATGCATGTGGGTATGACCCCCCTTTCTCTCATGTATGCATGTATGTGTAAACCATGGTGTGCCCGTGGAGGCCAGGGAACAACTTGCAGGAACTGGTTCCTGGTGACTGAACGCAGGTCAACAGGCTGTCAGCAAGCACATTTGCTCTCTGGCACACATGTATGCAGGTGTGTGTGCATGCGTGGGCAAGAGTGTGTGTGTAGAGCAGAGGTTGACCTCAGGTGTCTCCCTTGATCTCTCTCCACTTTACTCACTGAGACAGGGTCTCGCAATAAACTTGGAACTTTTTCACGGGCTAGACTAGTTAGCGGGCTTGCCCCTGGGACCCCTTGTCTCAGCCTCCTGAATTGTGGGATTACAGATAGACAGCCACATCCACCCAGCTTCCCAATTCTAGTCATCAGTTACTTGGCAAACACTTTACCTGTTTAGCCATCTTCCCAATCCAATGTATTTGGTTTTGAGAAGAGCCTTGTTAAGTAGCTCCAATGGGCCTTGAACCCTCTGTACAGTCTAGGGTGTTCTCAAACAGGTTGCCTACTAGGGCTTGAGACCCACAGCTCTCCTTCCCCTCTTTGTGGTGCCAGGGCTTCATGTATGCTAGGCAGACCCACTGCAATAGAGTTAAATCCCATGTGACCCATTTGGGGAAAACAGTATGGCAGTTCCTAAAAATAATTAGA